AAAAAAAAAACAAAAAACATGGTCTACCTAGTTCTAATAATGAGTCTAAGAACTGCATGAACTAATCAAGCAGCCACATTATCAATCTGTGGGTTATGCTGATTTTTAAAAAAATAAACTGTTAAATATAATTTTTAATAACCTTATGTGAGGCTTAATTTTTTTTTTGAGACAGAGCCTCAAGCTATCCCCCTGGGTAGAGTGCCGTGGCATCACAGCTCACAGCAACCTCCAACACCTGGGCTCAAGCGAGTCTCCTGCCTCAGCCTCCCAAGTAGCTAGGACCACAGGTGCTTGCCACAACGCCTGGCTATTTTTTGGTTGCAGCCATCATTGTTGTTTGTCGGGCCCAGGCTGGATTCGAATCCGCCGCCTTAGGTGTATGTGGCTGGCGCCTTACCCACTTGAGCCACAGGTGCCGAGCCTTAATTCTTATTTCTTTTGCAGGCAGTATAATACAATGATTAAGGATTACAGACTCTGAAGCCAGATAGCCTAAGTTCAAACTCTGCCTTAAAATTTACTACTTACTGTGTGACCTTGGATAAGTCACTTGACTTCTCTATGTTTCAATACCTACTTTATATAAGGTTATGATAAGTGTAAATGAGTTAATACATGAAGTCATTAGACTAGTAGCTGTCCATATTAAATGCCATTTAAGTTTTAGCTTAAATTATTATTTATTATTTTTTGCATTTCAATTTCTTTATTTCAATCCATTGTCTAAATATTATTTACACATAGCTAGGCATGTGCTATAGTCCTAGCTACTTAGGAGACTGAGGCAGGAGGATCATTTGAGCTCAGGAGTTCCAGGCCAGAATGGGCAACATAGGAAGACCTTGGCCCTCTAGAATGTCATAAAAAACAGCCCTTCCCTCTAGATAAACTTTAATCAGTACTATATATTATTCCTGAGTACAATTATTCAATCAGCTCCAAAGCCAGGTCAAAATTTTGTCTTGGGACCACATGAGAAAACATTAAGTACCTAATCTTAGCATTTAAAAAAAAATTACTTTTGGGCATGGTGCAATGGCTCAGGCCTATAATCCTAGCATTCTGGGAGTCCGAGGTAGGTGGATTGCTTGAGCTCAGAGGTTCAAGACCAGCCTGAGCAAAAGCAAGAGCCCATCTCTACTAAAAACAGAAAAATTAGCTAAGTGTGTTGGTGGGCGACTGTAGTCCCAACTACTTGGGAGGCTAAGGCAGGAAAATGGCCTGAACCCAGGAGTTTGAGGTTGCTGTGAGCTGTGATGCCATGGCACTCTACCAAGGGTGACATAATGAGATTCTGTCTCAAAAAAAAAAGATTCCTTTCCTATGCCCAGTCATTCCTATGACTAAAACCCATTTCCCAGACTCGTTCTGAGCTGCTCTACAGCCCTACTTTCCAAGAGAACCTTTTTCTAACTATTATCCAGCTATGAGCAGCAACCAAGACCATTAGGTCTCCTAGCCACTTAACTATTTGAGTTCTCACTTCTGTCTCCTGTCATTAGTGCTCTCCTCTGCCTTAGCCAATATCAGCCAATAAAAATCCAGAAAGGGCTTAGAAAAGGAGATGATTATTGATCAAAATGTTTTGTGATTATTTTGCTTTGTTTTTTAAAGGTTAAGTCAGTCACTGCCTCAACAAAAATTAACTTTATCAAAAGAGAAATGTTACAGTATAATGAAAATAACCAAGGTTTGACCTAGTTCTACCCTTACCTATCTATGTGAACTTTGAGAAGTTATTTAACCTCTTTAAACTCATTTCCCTGTGATGATGGTAACCACGGGAGATAACGTATGCCAAACAGGACTGTGCCTGACATATAGTAAATATTCCATAAATGGTAGCTAAGCTTGTTTCTTTAGGTTGTCAATTTCCTACACAGATTTTTGCCCTCATCAGGTTGAAAGGTTAAAGGAGAAAAAATGTGAAGTACCTTAGCATAGTCATTAGGTTAATGGGCCATCACCTAATGCTGACTTTCCTCCCTCCCTTAGAGTGGTGGGAATACCGCAGAGGCTTCAAAAACCACTCAATTCTGATGCTATGTCCAGGTTTCACTATAAAATATACTTACCATTTAGGTAACTTAAGCTTTCCGTCAATACTTCCAGCTGCTTCCCTGATGCTTACTGTCTTGGACAGAGTCACTCACTATATCTCAATGGCAATTGCCTCTTGACCTGGATAGAATATAAAAAGAAAAAAAGAGATAAGTAAAGCACAAATCACACCTAGAATGATCTGACCCAAAGGCTTATCCCAAAGACTTTCACGTACAATGAGAAAAGAGACAAGATCTGCGATCTTGAATCTGAAAGAAGCTGGCTATGCCTGAGGGGAGATGAGAAAGATTTTGGCTCTAAGAGACTTCCCTATTCCTATCAGATGATGGTTCTAGGGTAGAACACATTGTCTTTGCCTTAACTGATACCTATGTATTCCCTAACAGTCTAAAAATTTATATGACATCTTAAAGGTAGGAAACATCCCAGAAGTCAACTATAGGTTGAGCATTCCTAATTCAAAAATCAAAAAGTTCTAAAATCCAAAACATTTTGAGCACCAACATGGTATCAGACACCACAAATAGAAAAGCTTACACCTGAATTGACATGATTGGGTGGAGTTATCTATTCACTGAAAAAATAAAACTACCTTCAGGCTTTGTGTGTAAGGTGCATATGAAACATAATGAATTTCATATTTAGACTTGGTCTCATCCTCAAGGTTCTCAGTAGAACCTCTGTTAAGTTGACCACCCAAGGACTGTAACAAACCAGTCAACATAAGGAATTAGGCCTACTTTACTGATAAACACATCTGGTGCATGTCCAGTCTATGAAAATTAAGTCAACTTATGGAGGTGGTCTGTGTAGGGAGGTGGTCAGCTATGGAGGTTCTATTATTCCAAAATCAGGGCCGGGCACGGCACACCTATAATTCTAGTACTCTGGGAGGCCAAACCAGGTGATTTGCTTGAGCTCACAGGTTCAAGACCAGCCTGAGCCAGAGAGCAATACCTCATCTCTAAAAGAAAAGGCTGGGTTTTGTGGCTGGCGCCTGTAGTCCCAGCTAATCGGGAGGCTAAGGCAAGAAAACTGCTTGAGCACAAGAGTTTGAGGTTGCTATGAGCTCAGACACCACAGCACTTTACTAAGGGCAACAAAGTAAGACTCTGTCTCAAAAAAAAAAAAAAAAAAAAACCCTCCAAAATCTGAAATATTCTGGTCTAAAGCATTTCAGATAAGGCATCTTCAATTTTTGGTTAAATCTCCTTGTTTAAGGAAGGAAACTCAAGCTTGGAAAGGGTGAGTCATACAATTATTTAGGGGTAAAGGTAGGATTCTTTTAATAATAAGATATTCTGGAAGATGGTAAGTAAAAACAAACATTCATGGAATATATACCATAAACCAATCAGTATGCTTTACATTTTATATGAGACAATAATATAATAATGTTACCTCCATCTTATAAAGAATCCAAGTTTCAAGAAGTGACTCGTCCAAGGTCTCACAGCTTGTTAATAACGACAGAGTTTAAACCATGTCTGTCTGACTATGAAAGATCCTTCACCCACAGGCGGTGCCTGTGGCTCAAGGAGTACAGTGCCAGCCCCATATACCAGAGGTGGCGGGTTCAAACCCAGCCCTGGGCAAAAACTGCAAAAAAAAGACCCTTCACCCTGCTGATTCTCTTGGTCTGCCTTCTAGACTTGGTCCTCAAAAGAGCCCTGAACCACCCAATATCAATTAAAACTAAAAATAAAGCTTTTCTGTTTACAAACTTACCCTCCAGTTTTGTAACAAGCAGCCTTCTATAGCAGAATTGAAAAGCCTACCGTCCCATTGAATCTCACCCCTAAAATTAGAAAAGAGTTACTAGAGATGGGAGATCTGGGCCAAACTTCCTATGGATCCTACTCTTTGACTCAACAACAACAACAAAAAGTTTCACTATGTCACCCTCAGAGGAGTGTTGTGGCATCATAGCTCATAGCCACCTCAAACTCTTGGGCTTAAGCGATTCTCTTGCCTCTGCCTCCCAAGTCGTTGGGACTACAGACGCCTGCCACAGCACTCAGCTATTTTTCTGTTGTTGTTGTAGTTGACACTGTTGTTTGGCAGGCCTGGGCTGCATTCAAACCTGCCAGCTCTCATGTATGTGACTGGTGCCCTAGCTGCTGAGCTACAGGCGCTGAGCCTATATATCTTACTCTTAAGGAAAAATAGAAAGGTAGCTTCAACTAATGGTAAACCTAAAACTTATTCAATAGTCTTACATTCAAATTATCCCCCACCTTTCATTAAACATCCCCACAGACCACTTGTAAACTCCTTTTAAGACTGTCCCTTTAAACCAGTTTCCATATTCCACCAAATACACCCTCACACACCCCTTCCTCTGAATAGTCTAAAACTTCTCCCACATAAAAATTCTGAATTCTAAGAAATGGCCACATAAATCTAGTTTACCTCCACTAAGGTCTCTGTAGCCCTCACATTAACAGCAGCAGCCCTGCTGAAAACTTCTACCCCAGCACCCACCACCTACTACCAAATTTGCTGACATGTTACTAAGACCCAGGGGGCTTTTCTCTTCAAAACAGGATAGAACGCACTGCCAAAAGTCAAACAAACAGGAACTCCAGATGATCCTGATTTTTTTTCAACTGTCTATATACTCTTCTATTTCTGAGGAGTAGAAACAAGCAGCAAGTGATTTCTTTCCTCTGCTTGTGAATGTCATTTGCTTCTTGCATCTCCAGCATGGGGCCCTGGCCCCAGAAACAAGAGGATGATTGTAAACATCCTCAAACTTCTTTAGCGGCTGACCCTTCAGAGAGCTTTCATCATAACAGATATATCCTCATCACTTCCCTCTGGTGATTCTTGCTGCTGCTCTTGGCAGTAATGGTATGTGTGGGTATTGTCTATCTGACTAGGAGCAGAGATTGAAGGACAACCCTTACAGACCATGAAAAGTCCAACTATCTCATTTTCCAGAGGAGCAAGTTGAGTACCAGAGGAAGAAAGACTTGCCCAAGGTTACAAAACCAGTTAAAGTGAATATAGTTGAGTCCTTTTACTCCCAAAACACTTTGATAACGGATAAAAATGCTAGTAGAAATTCTGCTTCCCATATGACTCTCCCACAGATAAACACTGAACAAAAGACAAAAAGCAACCATCTGAAGTGAACAAAGCCTGACAGATTTTCAAGAGAAGATGAAAAGTAAAAGAAAGGACAGGATGAATTCCCATATTTAGAGCTCTGCCCTAAGGGTGGTCTAATTGGAGCTCCAATCAAAAAAGAAACACAACACAGGGTGTAATGATCACACCTGTAATATACTACCACTTTGGAAGTCCAAGGAGGAGGACTGCTTCAGGCCAGGAGTTTAAGACCAGCTTCAGCAAGAGTGAGACTCTATGAAAAAAATTAACTAGGCAAGGTAGCATGTGCCTATAGTCCCAGCTACTTGTGAGGCTGAAGCAGGAAGATCACCTGAGCCCAGGAGTTTGAGGTTACAGTGAGCTATGATGACTATACTCTAGCTGGGGCTACAGAGCAAGACCCTATCTCAAGAAAAAAACAAAAAAACCACAAACCCTAGGCCTTTGTCCTGAGGAACCAGAAGACAAAGAGAGCCCAGAGCAGCCATAGATAATAAGAAAAAGTAAGACAGAGAAGAGTCTCAGGTTCTGTGTATAAATTCTGCCAAAGACCTCAGCTAAGGACCCAAGAACTGGAACTGAGATCTGAAGTGTCACCCACTGCAGGTGTGACAAGAGTTTGCAGTTTTGAGGCTGAGTTAATTGCTTGCTAAATTAAAAACATCAACAGAAATAAGATTTTCTACAACATATTATATAGTGTACAGAATACAACTTCAAATTACATCAAGAGGCAGAGAAATTAAACCTATTTACAAGAAAAAAGACAATCAGCAGAGGGCAATTCCAAGATGACCCAAATGTTGAAATCATTGGGCAAGGATATTAATGCAGCTATTATAACTAAGCTCAATGAGGTTAAAAAATAAATAAATGCTCAAAATGAAGGAAAAAAGTAAATCTCAGAAAAGAAATTTTTAAAAAATTAAGTGAAAAATTTCTGCAGGGTGGCTCACACCTGTAATCTCAGCACTATGGGAGGCTGTGGGGAAAGAATGACTGAGACAAGAAGTTTGACAACATAAGTTTGGCAACATAAAGAAGTCCCAGCTCTTAAAAAAAAAAAAAACCTTAAAAATTAGTTGGGCGTTTTGGTGTATGCCTGTACTCTCAGTTATTTACAGACAGCTGGAGCAAGAGGATCACTTGAGCTCAGAAGTCTGAGGTTACAATGAGCTATGAGAGCACCACTGCACTCCAGCCTGTATGACACAGTGAGATCCTCTCCCAAAAAGAAAAAAGTGAAAATGTTTAAACAGAAATATAGTATCTAAAACTTAAAATTTGAAGGCTAGCACTCAAAGAACCACCACTTAGCTCTGCTGTTTCCTCTCCTACCAAGTGGTCTATTACTGATAAGCTTCTTTGTCCATGTTTGTGAGGTTTAGCAATAGAACCACACATCTAAAACTGTTATTCACCTGCTTAACTTGGCCAAATCGGAAGAACATGCTGGGTCCCTTTAACCTCTAGGAGTCTGTGACTAGAATATGGAGAGGCCACAGGTATGGCAAATGTAGTTAAACAGCAAGTCACAACAATTATCTAAGGAGGAAAAAACTAAGAGCTTTTATTACCTAATTTAATCTTCATGGTAACTCTAATCAGATAAATATCATCATTTTTATTTTATAAATGAGGAAGAAACAAAGGCTCAAAGTCATATAGCTAGTAAGTGGTAAAGTGGGTTCTCACCCAGCATTTCTGCTCCAAATTTTGCTTTCTCCTCTCCATTATACTATGTCTCTAAGGAGTTATCTCTCAAATCTTACCCTTAGGAAAGTCTGTCCTGATCCACAGCCCAAACATCACAAATTCTGCATGAAGTTGGTGAGTAGGTTACTTGTTCAGAACTTTTGTCACTCATTCATTTATTCATTCAAATACTGACTGCCTACAAGGAGTTAAGCTCTACAATAAGACTGGGGATGAAACAGAGTAGAAACAGATCTGTCTTCCTGGCATGCATAATATGGTACAAAAGAAAGACATTGTTTAGAAAT